TGCTCACACTCTGTCTCTGTCTCAAAAATAAACATTAAAAAAAAGAATTTAAAAAAGAATATTAAAAAAAGAAACATAAAATACAATTAAGGCAAACATGTCAAAGTGCCGGCTACGCCCAAACTTGAAGACCAGCAAACCCAGCCCCCTCGAGTTGGTCACCGTGTGGTGCTGTTTGCTGGCCAAGTCTGAGCGCACGCGTTGGGCGAGTAATGCCCCAAGACAGCACTCTGCCCCAGCCCCCTGATCCCAGACTGGCTTCCTTGTCCCGGGACACTCTTTCCGTTCCACCGGGTGGGAGGCCCACGTCCTCCGGGACCCGCCGATCCAAGTTGCGTTCGTTCCACTGATGGCCTAGAAGGGATGCTTTTCCACTGCGCCTCCCCTCCTGTCCTCACCTGTGATGATGTCCAGATGACTCTTCTGGAAACGCATCCAGGAGTTCCAGGCCCAACTTTTTGTTAACAAACTACTGTACTGTCAGTCCTACTGTATACACTTAGGTGTATATATAAATGCTTTTGATTTAAGAGCAACGTGGGGTGCATATTAGGTTGTGAAAAGATACTTATTTGTAGATTCGAATAATTTCTCTAAAGTAGTAGAAAAAATGAACTAAATTTCAAATTAATGTTCCCATTAAATATTTTTGTTGAAATCTAATGAACATAGACTCCTCGGGGTTCTCTTATATTGAAACAGGTCTAACATATGGACAAGGATAGAAACTAATGTAAGCAACAGCAAGGATCCACAGTGTAGCTTTATTATTTTTTTTAAGTAACCTCCATGCCCAACGTGGGGCTTGAACTCACAACCCCGAGACCAAGGGCCGCAGAGCCAGCCCGGCACCCCCTCCCCCGTTTAGCTTTGTTAAACCCTCATGCTGTCAGCTTTGTCTCTGATCTTTGTAAGAACGAATCACTCATTATAAATAGAAAGGAGCCTCTGTTGCTCTCCTCCCTAGTCCTGCCCCTCCTGCCTCATGCCCCCGTGCGGTGTTTGAACCAAGACTCCGAGATTCTCTAAGCCCGTCACCAAGGATGTACAAAAATGGGCTGGCAGGTTTTTGCCACGCCTGGCATCTCTGTGGCCAGCGTGGACGTGGTCTTTCCAGAGCCGGCCTGGTGGGAGAAGAGTCAGCTTTCAGCAGAGGGAGCTCAGCGAGGCTATGGCCTCTTTGGAAATGTCTTTTTTAACCACAGTGTCTGCACCCGCAGCCCCTCTGAGCTCTGGGACGGGGAGGGGACAGGTGGCTGCATCTGCCCACAGGCCCGCGTTCCCCCCATGCTGACCGTGCGTCTCCGTGTCGTCCGAAGCGTCCTGCTCAGCCTGGCCTGTAGGTGCTGGTGTCTGTTGCTTCGCAGGTGCTCTGGGGACAGAGCCAGCTCCATGGCCCCCAGCAGCCCTGTAGGTTTTAGGGTGCAGTTTTGTGGGATGTGAGGTTTTCCGGGAACGCCACAGAATCAGACGAAGCAGACGTGCCGGCAGCTGAAATGCATTGCTTTGAATTTAGTTACCTTGTCGTTATTTATAAGTGATCACTAAATAGGTACATTTTCAAAAGCCATGACAAGAATTCTCTTGATTTTATAGTTCTCTTTTGTTAAAGTTGGAAAACCACTCAACTCTACCTGTTGAAGAAGAAAACATAATTTTGTTGTTTTTAAAAACTGTGTATTATAGGTGAATATTGTAGGTATTTTCCATTTGAAAGACATTCTTCTTTGGGGCATCTGGGTGACTCAGTCGGTTGACCATCCAACTTCGGCTCAGGTCATCTCACAGTTAGTGGGTTCGAGCCCCACATCGGGCTCTGTTCTGACAGCTTGGAGCCTGGAGCCTGTTCGGATTCTGTGTCTCCCTCTCTCTCTGCCCCTCCCCTGCTCGTGCTCTGTGTCTCTCTCTGTCTCATAAATAAATAAACGTTAAAAAAAATAACAAAAACAGTATATTGTATCCAGAACAAGGAGAATTAAGCCTCTTTACTAGGATGTAAAACTATGAATCAGGGATTTATGAAGTAAAAACAGAATTTCAGTTTCTCCCTTTTGCATCAGCTAAATGATCACACATACTGATTTTAAATTGAGATCCATTTGATCCTTGCACAAAGGCCAGGAGGGCTGGCCGCCAGACGGGGTCTGGAGACACGTGCTGTTTGAACTGACCCCCCGCTCTGTGCTGTCCTGCAGCTTGGTGTTTGGAAGCCAGCTGGACATCCACTCGGGCGGGATGGACTTAGCTTTCCCGCATCACGAGAACGAAATCGCCCAGTGCGAGGCCTTCCATCAGTGCAGGCAGTGGGGAAATTATTTTCTGCATTCTGGTAAGTCGTGACTTCAGGTTGACTGTGCTCTATTTCGGTGCTGTCGCTTCTGTCACAATTGGAAAGACATAGCTCGGTTCGCAGGGGAAGAACCCGTCCTCTGTCGAGGTGTTGGAGTTTAAGTCCGCCGGATGTGAACTTCCTTGGATGGGACTGGAGTTACGAGGGCGGGAGGGCTGACTAGTGCGTGCAGAATGTTCTCCATCGCCGGGGCAGCGCTGGCAGAGGCAGCTGGCGCGCGAGGCCAGGCCTCACTCACGCTGGCGTCCGTGACTGTAAGCCCTGAGGCTGCTTGGCCCAAAGCGTGTCCACTGCCACGTTTTCTGGTGGACAACGACTGCCCCCACAGTTGCCGCCACATCTGCCGCTGTGCCCTGGAACAGCCGTCGTGGGTCTCTGCGACCCCAAGCCCATTTCTGCACCTCCTTGGAGGAGCGTGCAGAGGAAATGCAGAAGTGGGGCCGGTGAGCTGTCTGGTACCCGCTCCGGGACAGAACCCGGCAGGGGCCAAACTGCATTTCTGCCGGCGGTGTGCACACTGGCGACTCCCTGGAGGGGACGGGAGCCCCGTGATGCTGCAGGGCCGGCCCGGTGGGTGCCTCAGAAGTGACTCCCGGAGCCCAGCATAGCCCACAGTCAGGGGCCCACCCTTGGCTTCAGGAACCTCGGGAAATAGAGCCTCCCTTTGGCCTGGGGACTGGAGAGGAAGGCCCACGTCGAATAAATGTGTGCAGAGCCTGTCGGGCAGGGAGCCTCCGCGGACCGAAGGGCCGTGTCCCACCCCGGGTCAGCTGTCTGGGGGCCTGACACCCCGTTCACACGTCACGGTCGTGCTCCTGGTCACTTAGTTTTCTCCTGTGCCCGTCAGCGAATGTGGGCCCGGGGACCAGAGGGGACGGCGGGCCAGCGCCCCTCCTGCTTCCCTCCAGGAGTCACTAACGAGGTGTTTGGGGGCCAGAGAGAAGCAGGTCCTGTTCACCCCCGGTTTGGGAACAGAAAAGGGTTTTCGTTGCTGCGTTGTGACGACTGTGACAAACTATTAAGACAGCGGGCTCTCCGCCACTCCGCCGTCACCCCGTCCTGGAGAGACACTGGTGTCTCCTGATGCACAGGAGGGTTAACACCCCTCTTCTGAAGTAAGTGAACGGAAGATGAGTAGTCAGATGTATTTCATTTTCTAAATATTGTCAATTTAAAAAAATGGGGGGGCCTGGGTGGCCCCGTCGGCTGAACGCCCCGACTCTTGATTTTGGCTCAGCTCATGATCCCATGGTTCGTGGGATCGAGCCCCGAGTCGGGCTCTGCACTGAGTGCGGATCCTGTTTGGGATTCTCTCCTTCTCTGCCCCCCCTCCCCCGCCACGCATGCTCCCTCTCTCTCAAAATAAGTAAACTTGAAAAGAAAAAAAAATTTAGTTAAAAAAACTAATAAAAAAGCGTTTAAGTTTAGTTATAATCTCTACATCTGACAAGGGGCCTGAATTTGCCACTCTGAGAGCAAGTCACATGCCCTACCAGCTGAGTCAGCCAGGTGCCCCGAAGAGAGTTTTAATTGTGTTTGGTATATATGTGTTCTATGACGTTATGTGTTTGAGGTCATAGTTGTTTGGAAGCTACACTTTTTAACCAGCTCTCAGAAAAACTGGCCTTGGGGCTCCCTTGTGCTCGGGCTCCTGTCAGAGAAGGCAGAAGCATCTTCTGCGGGAGAGGTGAGGCCCCCCACGCCCCACTCCCCCACCCCGCCCTGGAAGGAAACCGTGTGAAAGCAGGGACTGAGAAGCTCCTGATGTAGGCTCTTGTCTCCCATCACACACACTCACCCACACACACACACTCACACACTCACACACTCACACTCACTCACACACTCTCCCAGGCCCTTGAGAGGCCC